CCATAATTTTCCCATTTTCATTATTAGCCTCCTTGTACATTTCCTAAAACTGAAATTATATAATACACATTCTCTTCGCCCACTGCCTGGTCAGCCCAGTAATTTCCAGTTTGAAGTTAGGAGCAGTTAACCCAGTTTTGGACTATATTACCTACAGTTTCTAGTCAATGGTCATGTTACCATTCCCTGATAAGAACTGAACTCTCAAACAAAGCATATGCAAAGTATGCATATCAATAATGTATTTTTCTATACTTTTAATAAATATAGTGATCTAGATAAAAATACATGTTCTTGCTATTAGTCACTACATATATACATAGCAAAACAGAAAACCATTTTAGTGTAATCCCTCAAACTCATTTCCACAAATACTTTATGCAGTGCAACAGGTAAATAGGTCGCCTAATCAATATTTTACTGTGCTCCTAGATATTATTAAGGGCATGTATAGTTCCATGCCACTGTATTTTATTTGTCATAGCAGCCAATGCTACTTCAGAAATTAAAGTATTGGAAATATGATTTAAACCAATAATTTAAATTAGTCATTTTTCAGAATAATTTCAAGCAATCCACACAGAGTTATTACCATTATAATTTTGCACTATTTCCTATAACCTTTCACATCCTGGAAGTGCTTCAGCTAAGAATCATGGGAAACAATACTAATAAAGCCACAAGAAATGAGTCAAGTTAAAAGAAAGAACAGAACAAGTTATACACATTATATTCCATATAATAAGGGCAATCATGTGAACTAAACAAGCATGTTCTATTTACTAACTGTATATTAAAGGAAATTCTTCATACCTTAACAAAAAGTTAAAACTTGTTATTACATGAGGTCAAGACTGTGATTAACAGAAGCATTAACTTCTTAGCTTAGCACTGCTGTTGCTATACTGATTCTAAGCATTCTACTTCCTGACAAGTCATCATTATTTTGTTTTAATACTTACATGCTGATATTAGTCATAATTAATCTCATTAACTGAATTTCTTTGACCCAGACACTGTGCTCGTAGGTGTGAATAAACAAAAACAAAAAATTGAAGTCAATCTACAAGCATAGGATTTGAAGAACTAAAGGGGAACCTAATATTCCTTCCGCCTACACTAAACAATCAGACAAATCATACAGTCACTCTTATGTGCATGTAGGGCATGTGCATGTAGGGCACAATTAGAATACAAGTGTACACAGGTATACACATTATATACTCTGAATCTTAAACACAATGACACAAATCTTCTTTAAGTAAAGTTTCCTCCAAGACAAATTCAACATGGACACATTCAGCAATACAGAAGAGATTTACTATTGCCTTCTTCCAGATTCTTTTAAACTTTTCACTCTAATCTACAACTCTGGAATTCATAGTGGTCTCTACCCAAGTACTAGCCTAGTCTGACCCTGCTTGGCTTTTTCAATATCAGCTCAAGTCAGCTAGATCCTGCAACTTGCTATATAAAGTCTTCACTAGCTATATGAAATAATACTTTGGATTCAATAACAAAAAGGTAGTCTATACAAACATAGCACCTGTCTGCAATTCCTTAAATCAAACACCTTTTCCCAGGACTGCAAGATAGCTGTTCATAGCAAAGCACTTTTTGCCTTCAGGTCCAAGGACCGCAGACCCAATATTTAACATTATTGATCCAAA